TGCAGTATTGTTTACGTCATTTCTAAAGAAGTAAATTTACTCAAATCTTTTCAACTGGCAAATGCTTTTTTAAAATATATATATATATATTATTGCACTTTAGGTTCTGTGGTACATGTGCAGAACATGCAGGATTGTTGCATAGGTACATACATGGCAATGTGGTTTGCTGCCTCCATCCTCCTGTCACCTATATCTGGCATTTCTCCCCATGTTATCCCTCCCCAATCTCCCTACCCCTACTTTCCCTCCCCTATTCCCCCTCAACAAACCCCAGTGTGTGATGCTCCCCTCCCTGTGTCCATGTGTTTTCATTGTTCAACACCTGCCTATGCGATGTCTGATCTTCTGTTCGTCAGTTTGCAGAGAATGATGTTTTCCAGATTCATCCATGTCCCTACAAAGGACATGAACTCATAGTTTTTTATGGCTGCATAGTAATCCATGGTATATATATATGCCACATTTTCCTTGTCCAGTCTACCATCAATGGGCATTTGGGTGCTTCCAGGTCTTTGCTATTGTAAACAGTGCCACAATGAATATATGTGTGCATGTGTCTTTATAACAGAATGATTTATAATCCTTTGGCTATATACCCAGTGATGGGATTGCTAGGTCAAATGGAATTTCTAGGTCCTTAAGGAATTGCCACACTGTCTTCCACAGTGGTTGAGCTAATTTACACTCCCACCAACAGTGTAAAAGTGGCAAATGCTTTTTAAGTGGCTTTGTGAAAGGGATAGAAGTACGTAGTTGACAAGATAGGGCTCCTTCCCTTGGGTAGCCCATTACCTCAAGGGAGAGACAGACATTTAATTAAACACTCAATTGATTATAGAATTATAATTGGGATAAAAACCTCAGAGGAGAGGAACTATGTGCAATAAAAGGCTATAAATAGATGGCCTGAGAAATGCAGAAATGTAGGTTGCCTATTCACCCTGATGATTGTTTCTTTTCCTGTGCAGAAGCTCTTTTGTTTAATTAGATCCCATTTGTCTATTTTCGCTTTTGTTGCCATTGCTCTTGGTGTTTTAGTCATGAAGTCTTTGCACATGACTATGTCCTGAATGGTATTGCCTAGGTTTTCTTCTAGTGTTTTTATGGTTTTAGGTCTTATGTTTGAATCTTTAATCCATCTTGAGTTAATTTTTGTATAAGGTGTAAGCAAGGGATCTAGTTTCAGCTTCCTGTATATGGCTAGCCAGTTTTCCCAACACCATTTATTAAATAGAAAATCTTTCCCCCATTGCTTTTGTCAGGTTTGTCAAAGATCAGATGATCTTAGGTGTGTGGTGTTACTTCTGAGGCATCTGTTCTGTTCTATTGGTCTCTGTATCTGTTTTGGTACCAGTACCTTTCTGTTTTAATTACTGTAGCCTTGTAGTACAGTTTGAAGTCACGTAGCATGATGCCTCCAGCTTTTTTTTTTTTTTGCTTAGGATTGTCTTTGCTATGCAAGTTCTTTCTTAGTTCCATATGAAATTTTAGGTGATTTTTTTCCCAATTCTGTGAAGAAAGTCAGTGGTAACTTGAAGGGGATACAATTGAATCTATAGATTACTTTGGGCAGTATGGCCATTTTCACGATATTGATTCTTTTTACCCATGAGCATGGAATGTTTTTCCAATTGCTTGTGTCCTCTCTCATTTCCTTAAGCAATGGTTTGTAGTTCTCCTTGAAGAGGTCCTTCACATCCCTTGTAAGTTGTATCCCTAGGTATTTAATTCTTTCTGTAGCAATTGTCAATGGGAGCTCACTTATGATTTGGCCCTCTGTTTTTCTGATACTGGTGTATAGGCATGCTTGCAATTTTTGCATATTGATTTTGTATCCTGAAACTTTGCTGAAGTTGCTTATAAGCTTAAGGAGATTTTGGGCTGAGATGATAGGGTCTTCTAAATATACAATCATGTCGTCTGCAAACAGAGACAATTTGACTTCCTCTTTACCTATTTAAATACGCTTTATTCCTTTCTCATTCTGGATTGCCCTGGCCAGAACTTCCAACACTATGTTGAATAGCAGTGGTGAGAGAAGGCATCCTTGTCTTGTGCTGGGTTTCAAAGGGATGCTTCTAGTTTTTGCCCATTTGGTATGATACTGCTTGTGGGTTTGTCATAAATAGCTCTTATTTTGAGCTATATTCCATAAATATCTAGTTTATTGAGAGTTTTTAGCACGAAGGGCTGTTGAATTCTGTTGAAGGCCTTCTCTGCATCTATTGAGATAATCTTGTGGTTTTTGTCTTTGGTTCTGTTTATGTGATGGATTACATTTATAAATTTGTGTATGTTGAACCACCCTTGGATCCCAGGGAGGAATTCTACTTGATCATGTTGGATAAGCTTCTAGATGTGCTGTTGGATTCGTTTTGCCAGTATTTTATTGAGGATTTTTCATCGATGTTCATCAGGGATATTGGCCTGAAATTTTCTTTTTGTGTGTGTGTGGGTGTCTTAGCCAGGTTTTGGTATCAGGATGATTTTGACCTCATAAGAAGAGTTAGGGAGGACTTCTTCTTTTTCTATTGTTTGAACTAGCTTCAGAAGGAATGGTAAGTTCTTCTTTGTACTTCTGGTAGAATTTGGCTGTGAAACCATCTGGTCTTGGACTATTTTTTGGTTGGTAGGCTATTAATTGCTGCCTCAATTTCAGAATCTGTCATTGGTCTATTCAGGGATTCTACTCCTTCCTAATTTAGTCTTGGGAGGGTGTAAGTGTTCAGGAATTTATCCATTTCTTCTAGATTTTTTGGTTTAGCTGCGTAGGGGTGTTTATAGTATTATCTGATGGTAGTTTGTATTTCTATGGGATTGGTGGTGTTATCGCCTTTATCATTGCATCTATTTGATTCTTCTCTCTTTTCTTCTTTATTAGTCTGGCTAGCAGTCTGTCTATTTTGTTGATCTCTTCAAAAAAACCCAGCTCTTGGATTCAACGATTTTTTGAAGGTGTTTTTTGTGTCCCTATCTCCTTAAGTTCTGCTCTGGTCTTAGTTGTTTCTTGTCTTCTGCTGGCTTTTGAATTTGTTTGTTCTTGCTTCTCTAGTTCTTTTAATTGAGATGTTAGGGTGTCAATTTTAGATCTTTCCTTCTTCCTTTTTTGGGCATTTAGTGCTATAAATTTCCCTCTACACACTGCTTTAAATATGTACCAGGGATTCTGATACATTGTGTTCTTGTTCTCATTTGTTTCAAAGAACATCTTTATTTCTGCCTTCATTTCATTATTTATCCAGTAGTCATTCAGGAGCAGGTTGTTCAGTTTCCATGTAGTTGTGTGGTTTTGAGTGAGTTTCTTAATCTTGAGTTCTAACTTGATTGCACTATGGTCTGAGAGACTGTTATGATTTCTGTTCTTTTGCATTTGCTAAGGAGCATTTTACTTCCAATTATTTGGTCAGTTTCAGAATAGGTGTGATGTGGTGCTGAGAAGAATGTATATTCTGTTGATTTGGGATGAGAGTTCTGTAGATGCCTATTAGGTCCACTTGGTCCAGAGCTGAGTTCAAGTCCTAGATATCCTTGTTAATTTTCTGTTTCATTGATCTAATATTGATAGTGGGGTGTTAAAATCTCTCCCTATTATTGTGTGGGAGTCTGAGTCTTTTTGTAGGTCTCTAAGAACTTGCTTTATGAATGTGGGTGCTCCTGCATTGGGTACATATATATTTAGGATAGTTAGCTCTTATTGTTGCATTGATCCTTTTACCATTTGTAATACCTTCCATTGTCTCTTTTGATCTTTGTCGGTTTAAAGTCTGTTTTATCAGAGACTAGGATAGCAACCCCTGCCTTTTTTTGCTTTCAATTTGCTTGGTAAATCTTCCTCCATCTCTCTATTTTGAGCCTGTGTGGGTCTTTGCTTGTGAGGTGGGTCTCCTGAATACAGCACATCGATGGGTCTTGACTCTTTATCCAATTTGCCAGTCTGTGTCTTTTAATTGGGACATTTAGCCCATTTACATTTAAGGTTAATATTGTTATGTGTGAGTTTGATCCTGCCATTATGATGCTAGCTGGTTATTTTGCCCATTAGTTGATGCAGTTTCTTAACAGTGTTGTTTCTTTCCATGTTTTGTGCTTCCTTCAGGAGCTCTTGTAAGGTAGTCCTGGTAGTGACAAAATCTCTCAGCATTTGCTTTTCCGTAAAGGATTTTATTTCTCCTTCACTTATGAACCTTAGTTTGGCTGGATATGAAATTCTGGGTTCAAAATTCTTTTCTTTAAGAATGTTGATTATTGGCCCCCACTCTCTTCTGGCTTGTAGGGTTTCTGCCAAGAGATCCACTGTGAGTCTGATGTGCTTCCCTTTGTGGGTAACCTGACCTTTCTCTCTGGCTGCCTTTAGCATTTTTTCCTTCATTTCAACCCTGGTGAATCTGACGATTATGTGTCTTGGGGTTGCTCTTCTCTAGAAGTATCTTTGTGGTGGTATCTGTATTTCCTGAATTTGAATGTTGGCCTGCCTTGCTAGGTTGGGGAAGTTCTCCTGGATAATATCCTAAGAGTGTTTTCCAACTTGGTTTTATTCTCCCCTTCCCTTTCAGTTACACCAATCAAACGTAGATTTGATCTTTTCATGTAATCCCATATTTCTTGGAGGCTTTGTTCGTTTCTTTTCACTCTTTTTTCTCTAATTTTGTCTTCTCATTTTATTTCATTGAGTTGATCTTCAATCTCTGATTTCCTTTCTTCTGCTTGATTGATTCAGCTACTGAAAGTTGTGTATGCTTCACAAAGTTCCTGTGCTGTGTTTTTCAGCTCCATCAGGTCATTTATGTTCTTCTCTAAACTGGTCATTGTAGTTAGCATTTTGTCTAACCTTTTTTCAGGGTTCTTAGCTTCCTCGCATTGGGTTAGAACATACTCCCCTGGCTCGAAGAAGTTTGTTATTATCCACCTTCTGAAGCCTGCTTCTGTCAATTCATCAAATTCATTCTCCATCCAGTTTTGTTCCCTTGCTGGCTAGGGGTTGTGATCCCTTGGAGGAAGAAGATATTGAACGCTTCATGAATTTGCATGTCATCCTTGTGCAGCAGCCATGCTAATCTTTTCTGTATTGTTCCAATTTTAGTATATATGCGGCCCATGCAAGCACTGTCATGCTGTTTTGTTTGAAGTTTCTCGTATTAAAAAGTTTAGTCAATCAACAATGTATACGTATTTCACAACATTATGTTGTATCTGGTAAATACACACTATTTTGTCAATTTAAAAAATAAAATACCATATAAAAATGAAAAAATATACATTTGGTTACAAAGATGCACTTAACACAGAAATTTACCACAACCAAATTCCCTTCTTATAGCACAATAAAACCAGAAATAAATTTCTAAAATAGAATTTAATGGTTCTAAGATCAAGTAGATTAAAATGCTTATCTCTGGAAGGTATAGTGAAACTGGTCCACCGCAGTGCAGTAGGATGCATGTTATAATCCTCTCAGCAATTGGAGGCACGTTCCAAAGCCATAAAAATGTTTGTGCATTTTTGTCTCACCAAAACAGCTAATGGGAATTTTTCCTAAGGAAATATTCCAAAATAAAGAATACTATTTCATGGTTAAAAAAAAAAAAGTTAAACACAAACATGTCACCATTTTGCATATTTTGATAGCCAATTAATACCCAATTTTTCCTTTTTTATGTTTATTTAATTAATTTATTTAGAGACAGAGTCTTGCTCTGTCACCCAGGTTGAATTGCAGTGGCACCATCATAGCTCACTGTAGCCTCAGCTTCCCAGGTAGCTGGGACTATAGGCTCATGCTACTACACCAGTATTAAATGTTTTGAAATGTTTTTATTAGTCTGGTCAGTGTATCATCTAAGCAATTTTTTATTATAGCATTTACCTTTCACTTTGTAGGTAATGATCTTATTCCAGGATGGGTGTTTATTGGTGGAGACCTCAAGTTTAATTATGAACACAACAGTCAATTACCTCTCATTCTATCTAGTAAAATTATGGTGTAGTCGATATGTCTAAAAGAAAATACATGACCTTTTATGTTAGCACCTGTAGAAATACTGACTAAATAATACTCAGCACCATGGTCTGTGAATCATTATTTCTGCTTTGTAATCTTGGCTGCATCTATCAAATTACATTCTTTTATTGCCATTCAGATGAATTGGTTTTGGAACATTGAAAGGAGAATGATGGGAATGAGTATTCTAAAAAATACTTTAGCCTTGATATAAAGCTTTAAATAATTTTAAAGTATAATTAATTACTAATACACTAAGCATATTTTGTAATTGTTTGTCATATCTGTTATTGACATGTTTCACACTGAAATATAAAGTTTGGAAGTTTGCTGTCTTGTAGGAATGAGAAAACTTTGATAAGTGCTTCTGTTAAAAAAAATGCTAATTCTTTAACATGGCTCCTTGCAAATGTTTCCGATAGAAATTAGTTTCTTCCATTTTTTCTGTCATGGAAATCAGTGAGAACAACAAAGTATGACATCTACATGTCTTCCACAAATAACAGAGGAATGAACTCAAATTCGTTAGAGGGACTGACTGAAATTTTAATTACAGTTGACCCTTGCACAATGGGGTTAGGAGTACTGCCCCTGTACAGTCAAAATCCTGGTTCCTTTTAACTTTCCCAACACTTAACTACTAATAGCATACTGTTGGCCAGAAGCCTTACTAATAACATAAGCAGCAGATTAACACGTTTTGTATGTTTTATGTTTTATATACTGTATTTCTACAATGAAGTAAATTAGAGAAAATATTATTAATGAAATTATAGGGAAGAGAAAATATATTTATTTACTAAGTGAAAGTGAATCATCACAAAGGTCTTCATCCCCATTGTCTTCATGTTGAATAGGCCAAGGGGGATGAGGAAAAGGAGAAGTTGGTCTTGTTCTTTCAGAGGTGACAGAGGTGGAAAACAAATCCACCTGTAAGTGGACACTTGCAGTTCGAACTCATGCTGTTTAAGAGTCAATTGTCAACTGCACTTATAAACAATCTTATTCTGCTCTTTTGTTCTCTGACTTTTCAAATTTTAAGTACCATCTTAAAGCATCACTTGACTTTGAAGCTAGGATGAACGTCTTAAATATTATGCTTATAGAGTTATAGTTCACTTTTCCTCTTTGATATCAGATGATATAAGCTTCCTCATTGCTATGAGTAGGTAATTATAGAGGCTCTACTTAAAAGAGAAACTCAGAATGACTCATCTATACCAAAGTTCTGCTGTACAAATCCTTTTCTTTGAATCTGAAGCTACTATTGACTGAATATCACAGAAGCAAACTTTAAGGTGCTTTGGAATTAGTGGTTATACATTTGTGCTACTCTAGGCACATGCTTGCTCTTGGCCTCCACTGTTTGATAACCTTGGGTTTGCAGAAGTCCTGGCTAGAGATACTGCTACAGTCTATGGCTGCAAAGCAGTTACTCATCATGTAAAACCATCTAGTAAAAAGAGTTTTCTTGGGACCATGAGCTTATTACTGTGGTACTCTAATCAAACAAACAAACCTTTTAATTACAACTATTAAACTCAGTCAATGATCCTGAGGAGCTGAGGCCCATGAACTGAGACCTTGGAAGTAGCTGATGAGCTATTTTAATTCTTTTTAACACTGAAAGTGTCTCGTTTTAGTACACTTGCTGTAATCTTTAAATATGTGGCTGCTTTACTGAACTTTGACCAAAACAATTTTTTCTTCACCATCTCCATCATAGTGGCTGGTTTCATTGCCTTGAATATTATTTATATGCCAGCAATTTGAATAATTAGTGACTGGAGATTCTAAGGGGGAAAATATCTGTATACTCATCTATATACGAACAAGAAAACAATGATTTTTCATTTTTTTGTAATGTTTAATAATGTCTTCAAAAATTTTCTAAAGATGTGAGACTATTCTGAAAAATAGAAATAGCTTAAATTTTTCCCATTATAAAAGGAATGTACACTAATTGCAAGCAATCCAGAAGATACAAAATTAGGAGAAAATTAAAGTCACCACAACCTCATCACTGGAAGACAATCTCTTTCAAATAAACAATTTGATGATGCACCTGCAGGACCTAGAAAAGCAAGAATAAACCAAACCCAAAATTAGCAGAGAGAAAGAAATGATAAAGGTCAGAGAAGAACTAAATTAAATAAAGACTATGTTATAAATACAATGAATTGACAAAAGAAAATGTTGGTTTTTCAAAAAGATACAATTTATAACCATGAGCTAGACTACCCAAGAAAGGAGAGAATTTCTAAATACAAAAAATTAGAAATGAAGAAGGATGCATTACAATGGAAACAACAGATACAAAAGATCATCAGAGATTATTATGAACAACAATATACTAACCAACTGGAAAACCTAGAAGATATGGATAAATTTATGGACACACAAAATCTAACGAGTGTGTCAGGAAGAAAAAGAAAACCTGAATGAACTGATAATAAGTAGCAAGATGGAATCAGTAATAAAATGTTTCCCAACAAAGAAAAGCCCAGGACTAGATAAATTTTTTTGCTAAATTCTACCAAATGTATAATATAAAGCAGAAATTTTAAAACTACCAATTCTCTTCAAACTATTTCAAAATATTGAAGGAGGAATTTTCCTTAACTCGTTCTATGATGCCAGCATTACTGTGTTGCCAAAACCAGACAAGGACATAAAATACAAAAAGAAAGCTACAAGCTCGTATCCCTGATGAATATAGACACAAAAATCCTGTAGAAAAAATACCAGCAAACCAAACATAACAGCACACATAAAGATCAAGTGGGATTTATGTGAAGGATTTAAGGATGATTCAACATATGCAAATCAATAAACAATACATCACATCAACGGAGTGAAGGACCAAAACCTTATCATGATCTCAATAGACACAGAAAAAGCATTTGATAAAATTCAACATTCATTCTAGACAAAAGCTCTCAACATATTAGGCACAGCAGAAACATACCTCAAAATTATAAAGGCTATATATGACAAACGCACAGCTGACCTCATACTGAGTGGGGAAATTTAAAAACCCTTTGTCTAAGAACTGGAACAAGATAAGAATGTCCACTTTCACCACCTCCATCTAACATAGTACTGGAAATTCTAGCCAGAACAATCAGGTAAGAGAAAGAAATAAAAGTTAACTAAATTGGAAAAGACAAATTCAAATTGTCCCTCTTTGCAGGTGACGTGATCTTATATTCAGAAAATCCAACAGACTCCACCAAAAAAAATCTTAGATTTGATGAATTCAATAAGGTTTCAGGATACAAATCAACATATAAAAATCAGTAGAATTTTGGGAGGCCAAGATAGGCAGATCACTTCAGGTCAGGAGTTCAAGACCAGCCTGGCTAACATGGTGAAACCCTGTCTCTACTAAAAATGCAACAATTAGCCAGGCATGGTGATGCATGCCTGTAATACCAGCTATTCGGGAGGCTGAGGTAGGACAATTGCTTGAATTGGGAGGTGGAGATTGCAGTAAGCCAGGATTGCACCGCTGGACTCCAGCCTGGGCAACAGAGTGAGACTCTGTCTGAAAAAAGAAAAAAATATCAGTAGCATTTCTATATACCAATAATAAAATAACTGAAAAAGAAATCAAGAAGGTAATCTCATTTATAATATCTTAAAAAATCTAGAAATAAATTTAACCAAGGAATTGAAAGATCTCTATGAGGAAAACAAAAACATTGTTGAAAGAAATTAAAGAGAACACCAGCAAATGGAAATACATTCCATGCTCATGGATCAAAGAATTAATATCATTAACCATATTGCCTAAAGCAATCTACAGATTCAAGGCAATCCCTATCAAAACACCCATGTCATTTTTCACAGAAATAGATAAAACAATCCTAAAATTTGTATGCAACAAAAACAGGGCCAGAATAGCCAAAGCAATCCTGAGCAAAAAGAACAAAGCTGGAAGTATCACACTACCTGACTTCAAAATGTATTACAAAGCTATAGTAACCAAAACAGCATAGTCAGGTATTGATCGACTTACGACCTATGCAACTTACGACCGTTCGACTTTACGACCACAATCGCTAGCCACGACTGCTCCGCGTCTGGCAGTGCAAACGTTGCCC